ATGTCAAGTTCTTTTCCCCTCCTTGGGAAGTTTTCTGCCATCACTTCTGTGAACAGTTTTTTTATGTCATCTGCACTCTCTCCTCTTTTTCATTGACTCCAATCAGTCTTATGTTATGGATATATAAAACCTCCACCCAGGTGGAGTATACATTTAGTGGGAAAAGAGATGATAAACATGCAAACAAATAGTTACAATTTTAATGAATGGCACATAGAAAAGAAAATGAATAGTTGGCTAGAGTTTGGATAGGTTAGGGAAAGCAGGGAGGTGAGAAGCACCTTTGATTGGAGATGCAAGGAAGGCTGTCTAAGGAGGTGACATCTGATCAAGGTCTGAGCAGTGAAGGAGCCGGGCATGTACAGGTCTGGCAAAATAAACATTCCAGACAGTGGAAGCTTCTACTAAGAAATTGGGAAGCCCTGACTCTGCCTCTTCAAATTTTATCTCCCAGATTAATTTCTCTTTCTCTGTAAACCCAGCACCAGTTTCCTTACAACACGACAGATAGCAGCCTAGGGGTTTACAACAGAGCAGTGGTCATATGTGACTTCTGTGAACCATACCTGCTCTGTAATACTCTATAAACTGTCAATTTTGGCCACCTATGACCAAGACACAAACTGAGCCTTCTAGAAACCACACACAGGAACCACTGGTTCAGAAGTGAAGGATTTGTTCCTAATGCCACTTAGATAACCTTTTATTTATTTAACTCTATTTTGTCAACTTAGTGACTTACCATGGCCTGTATACTCAAAGGAATCTGCCTCATCAGGAGTATCAAGTTCATCCACGTTGATATCAATTTCATCTGGGCTGTCTAGGTTGTCATCAGAGAGAATAGATCCTTCACTTTGGTCCAGAGAAAGATTGATATTTGGGGCTGTGAGCTTGATTCTCTGAGGATGAGTGCCATTAAGATCCAGCGAATTAGGAGGTTCTAAAGAAGAAAAACAATAGTAACATTCAACATTAGATTGCCTAGGATGAGCTTGGCCCCTTTCATTTATTAAGACTGTTTCAGCAAAGCCAGATCTGCTAACAATCCTAATAGGAGATTTGGAACCCTTATTGACAGCTGACCTCAGTATTGACTTTCCCCACTCTGATCAACCCTGGCCATGTAAAAACAGGAAGTGGGAGCTATTCCTAAAGATGTAGAAAAATAGGGTTTTTTTTTTACTTTTCTGTTCATCTTTAAGAACTTGATACTGCTATAATATTGAGTTGTATTTTTATGAGGTATACTGCTTGATAAAAAGTTAAGTGGATGTTTTCTACTTGTTCTTAATCAATTTTGTTCCTAAAGAATGGCAGTAAATAACTCTGTTATGTTGACAGACACTCCCCAAATACTTTTCAGTTCCTTAAGTACAATCTTTAGTGACCTTTCTTGTTTTGTTTTTTAAATAAAACCTGAGGTACCCTTCCTGGTTACATGCTTTGAACCTTCCTAAGCAGTCACCACCTATTAAGCCAGTTTTGCTTGACACTGGTTCCCATAACGTGTGATAATCTTATGTTAAGACTCACACCCTTTCATTGTAGAATATATTTTTCTGCTCATGTGCCTTTCATTTAATAGAGGCTGTGCTTGAGAAGTCATTTTAAACCAAGTTTATTCCAACCAAACAAAGAGAAATATCCTAATGTTATATAATAAAAAAAAATATGCTCTTTACCTCTGGTTCTAGGCAGAGCTCCTAAAATGCTCAGAATTTCCTGAGAGAGGAGTGTCTTTTGCTATTTATAGAAAGATCTTTTTGATCATAACTGAGTTTATGCCAGAGAGGTACCTTGGAAGGGGGCCCCTACATCACCTTAGGATGGGGCTGATCACCAGAAAGACCAAGTGATTAGAAAATTGGAACTTATCTCCACCCAATGACCTCTGAGAAGGAGGTGACGGGCTGGAGATGAGGCTGTATGAAGACTCTTGAACAACAGGTTTGATGACCTTTTGCACTGGTGAATGCATTCAGGTGCTTGGAGGGTGGAATATCTGGAGAAGGCATTGAAACTCCACACCACTTCCTCTATACCTCGTGTAAAATCCGGAAGAAGAAAATCATGGCAAAAAGCAACCTTTGAAGAGCACTTCAAAATGGAGTTGGGAGACCACTAGGGGACTAGGACTTGTACATGTATTAAGATGCTGCCAGGAAATTGAAATCTTAAACTGGGCATAGGAATGTGAATGTTTGAACTGAGCCAAATCTGCAAAACCACTAGCATCATTAATGAATGTTGTAGCTGCAACCATCACAAATGACAGATGCACTTTCCACTTTGAGATAGTCCTAGAAATCAATCATGCATAACCTAGTGATGTGCAGCCTAGTGTTAAACTGTTTCTGAACCAATCATTTTCCTTTGCATGTAACTTGCTTTCTCCCCTGCTTCTCCTTCTCTTTAAAATACCTGCATCATCTGAACTTCTATGGAGCACTCTTTCAGGGGTATCTGAATTTGTGTTTTTAGAAACTGCAATTCCCAAGACCCAAATAAAGTTATTTTGCTTTTACAATCCCTGGGTTTGAACTGACTGACATTAGATGGTGGCAGAAGTGGGATCTGAAGTGACTTGTCACTACCTCTGATGTTTCTGAGGACATGAGTACAGGTGTTTACGTGACTCTTTATGTTCTCCACTGATTCCCTGGTAGCTTCAGATTGTGAGAGTAAATTCTCTCAAGTCTCCAAACTTCCCACCTCTTTGCTCAATATTTCAAAATTTTCTTTGGTGTCTGTTATCACCAGCTTCTTAGGAAGAAAGTCCCTTATCTAGATGTCTAGGAGGGGAATCCTTCATTCTGTGGTCACTTGGGTTCTGAGACAGGTAACTTCCATTGTGGGTTAATATTTGCAGGAAATTCCTTCCTTAAGAATGCTACTAGTGGGCCTGGGATTTAGCTCAGTAGTTCCACCACCTGGCCCACAAGCTCAAGGTCCTGAGTTCGATCCCTGGTACCAAAAAAAAAAAAAAAAAGAATGCTACTAGTGGGCAACCATCATCCAGAGCTCTGGCTTCTTTGGTGGCTAAAACCTATGGGCCTTCTTGTAAATTCTTGCTTTGATGGACTGAAAGTATTCATATGATTTGAAATTATGGTAGCCCTTTTAGGGCTCTTTTGATATTTTAAAATTAGTTCACTTGTGTGCTCAATTAGAAAAAAGTTATACAACTAAACAATTTGAATGGGAAGCATGCTTTTATTGGCACTTTGGGGTTATTAAATATAATAATGAGTCCACTATTGCTTCTCTTAGGGAGACAAATTCACAGCTATCTCTGGCTAGCCTATACCTAGCCTAGGAAAATTATTAAGCAGATGGTTTAGGTTAAGTTTTAGCTGGCTAAAATCCTTATTGATAGTGTCATTATTACTTCTTGCTATTCTTATTATTGCTTATAAATACCCGGGAGACAAAACCAATAGCTTTTTTTTTTCTTTTGGTACCAGGGATCAAACTCGGGACCTTGCACTTGCAAGGCAGGTGCCAGAACCACTGAGCTAAATCCCCGGCCCGACCAATAGCTTATTTAATTCTAGTTTCTTAACTGATCTCAGGAAGATGTAAGTATTCTCTGGTCAAACAACACTCTCTGACCTGAACTGAAAGAAAGGCCCCATGAAGTAGCTGTCTTAGTTGAGAAATTGTCCCAGAGTCCTGCTAAAAAAAAAAAATCAAAGGAAAAAGCTACTAAAATTATGGATATCAAATCCAAGTTGCTTATTTCATGAGCATCCTGATGATGCAATTATCTCTTAAACTAAATTCTTCATGTTCCTTCAGTTCTAAGGCATTTGTTATTATTGACTCATAAATCAAACTCTTGGTCATTCCAGACATAATTTGATATTTTCATATGATGATACTATAAGGTCATCATTAAAAAGGGTAGAACAAAACCCAAAGATGACTTTGCCTGTCTCGTAAAAGGAACTATCCCCCAATTATGGGATGGATATATATGGCTTACCCATAGTTATGGATGTTTACATTTGGAGGCTTCCTTTGGTTGGAAGCAGTACATTCACACTAAAATTGTTTAACCAAATAATACCTATCACCGTGGGCAGTGTCTATCTAGGTCCTGTTCCCTATAATTACCTTACTAGCCTCTTGGCTCGGGACTGATTGACAACAATCTGGCCTTGACTGGCAGCACCTAATGGAACTCAATGGCTCTGTGAAACAGGCTCTGTCGCCTCAGTTGAGCTGGACACTGCACTTTGGGATTTCCCTTATTTCAAAGGCTTATTCAATCTTCCTTTCACGTAGGCCCTGCTGGCTTTGTACTGTTCAAAGGCAGATGGATTTGATCAGTATGTCAGTGGTGCAGTCATTTACTTTCTGTGTTTGTCTCAACCTTAGGACTGAAAGATGATTGCTCACATATAAGCATCAGCTAAAGTTACTCAGCAAGCTTTAAATGACAGCGGACAAGTATTTAACTTGGTAAATACAGTACCAAAATGTCCATAAGAGGAAAAGCAGGCTTACAAAAATAAATGGCACTTGATATCATCACCACTTCTCAAGGGGGCACTTGTGCTATTATTAAAACAGAATGCTGTGTTTATATAGCTGACAAATCATCAACATCACCCATCTCATGAATCATATGAAAAAATCAAATTGGTCTCTTAAGTGACCCTATACCTATCATAGGAAAATTATTAAAAAGATAGTTTGGATTAAATTTCAGCTGGCTAAAATCCTTACTGATGGTGTCATTATTACTTATTTGTATTCTTATTGTTGCTTGTAATTTTTCTGAGTTTTAATACAATGTATAACTCATTATTTAACTACTTCTACCACCAGAATAATTATCTCACCATCGACTATAAGCATGCAATCATCTTTTTTAGGCCATCTCCAATGAAAATTATCAAATTATTGCCTCATTTCTGCTCTCCCATTATCTCTTTGTTGTTATTCAGTTGTAGCCTTAAACTACCTACAATCACTTCTTTCACTCTTGAAGGGTACATGACTTACTGAGAATGAGCCTTCCCAGTGCTGAGGGATGAGATCTATATAAAATCCAAACCCAATCCAAAGATTGATTATTGATATTTCTTAATTATGATCAACAGGAGGAAATGTGAAATTCAGAAGAAAATCATGAAAACAAAGCAACATTTAAAGAGCATTTGAAAATGAGTTGGGGAGTCTTCAGGAAACCAGGAATTACACATATATTGGGCTGCTGCAGAAGAAAATGAACTCGTGAACTGAGTACAGGAAATAGAATTTTTTAAACTGGGCCAAGTCTGCAAAGACCACTATTATCATTTAATGAATGCTACAGAAGCAATGGTCACAAATAGCAAATGACTTTTCAACTAGAGACAGTCCTACAAGTTAATCATGCACAGCTTAATGATGGCACCATAGTGTTAGGGTAACTTTTCTGCACCCCTTTCCTTTAGATGTAACTTGTGAGATTTTCTTTTTTCTCAGCTTCTCCTTTGGTTAAAAAAAAAAAACACTATACAACTGGAACTTCTTTAGAGCATTCATTCAGAGCTATTTGAATTTGTTTCCCTGAATTACAATTCCTAATACTCTCATATGAAGTCCTTTGCTTTTATAGTTTCTAAGTCTGAAATGATCGTCATTTGCCCTATGTACCCCATTGTCTATTCACCTATGTCTTTTATATCTTCTATAGTAAACAAGTAAATGTCAGTAGGGTTTCCATGAGCTCTGTGAGCTGTGCTAGCAAATTGTTAACCCTAAGGAAGGAGTATGCGGGCGCCCTAAGGCTGGGTGGTCGGTCAGAAGCACAGGTGCAGTCTGGGACCTGTGGTAGTGTCTGATGTCTTGCAAGACTGTGCCCATCACCTACTGGACCTGTCACTATCTCTAGTTGTGTCAGAACTGAATAACAGGACACCCTGGTTTGTGTTCTCTAGAGAACTTCTTGGTGTATGTGAAGAAACTCCTACATACCTGGCCATTGAAGTGTTCTGTCTGTGTGAGAGTATAGTAAAGGAAGTTTCCTGTCTTCACCTAAAAGCAGAAGAGACGAATTTCCTCAGCACAAAGGACTTTGAAGGCCATCTGGTATACCCCTCAACTCTGGGATTCAAACCTGGCCTAAGGAAACTGGCACTGTTCCTTTATCATTAAGACCTTTCTTTTCTGTATAGGATATCACCCAAACTGTGTACCATGTAATGTTTTTTTCTTTTTTTTTGGTAACAGGGATCGAACTCGGGTCCTTGCGCCTCTGCAGCAGGCGGCGAAATCACCGAGCTAAGTCCCCAGCCCCCATGTAATGTTTTTATGTATTATTTGAGAAAAATGTTTCTATGACATTTGAAAAATACTGGGTTTTTATATTACAGGAATTCACAGGGCAGTGAAGTTCAAAAGAAATTTTTTTGTGATGAGGGAAATGTTTTATATATTTTATTGAGCAATTAAAAATGAGGCTAATATGATTGAAGAATGGTATTTTAAATTTTTATTTTTAATTTTAATTAATTTATATAATTATGTGTATTTAGCTGCTACCATATAGGATAACCATCGCTTTAGTGTCTTTATTGCTCAAAAGTAAGTTGTGAGTATTGTGGAGAGATGTAACAGTGTTTACCATTGGTCATAGTAATCTAAAAATAATTATGTCACATGACTGGTATCTTTAAGAATGTATCTTAAAACAATTTCAATTATCTCTCTTCTTGCTACCCCATTCTAGGCATGGCTAAAAATACCATGGTTCAGGATCTTGGTGTGATCCTAAAGTTTGCATAGCTGAAGAGAGTGACTCTAGCACAAAATGAAAGTCATGCAGGTTGCAACTGAAATTTTAAAATTTCTTTTTGTGTATGCCTTGGGTTTAAATCCTTATGGTATAAAGTTGTTGTGGTAGTTAGGTGTTTTGTTTTGTTTTTGTAGTGCTAGGAACCAAACCCAGCACCTCATACATGCAAAGCAAATGCTCTACCATTGAGCTACACTTCCACCCCAATGTTGTTTTTTATAATTAGAACACCAAGCATTCTTAATATCACATTTGCAACCTTAAACATTCTTAAAATGATGCATAAATTTGGTGAGCTTAGACATCAGTAAGAATTCAGTATTGTGATATACAGTAACTAATTATCAGAGGAACTGAAAACTTTGGCAGATAAAATGTGGTCCATGTTAGTGAGCATCAATATTTGAATTGACTCTCAAATTAACCAAATGGAGCTCAACACCTTCTTTTCAAACATTTTTTTCTCTTCACTTTTATCACTGAAATCACAGGCTGAATGCACGGGAAAAAGTCCTCTCAGCGAATAATGGAAATGTGTGGATGAGAATACTCCTGCAGGAAAGGAGCAAGTGCTTCTCTCACCAGGCCTCATGTCTGCAGCACTGGGACTCAGCATCCCCTCCTCGAAGGGGACATCCATTCCTACATCCTCTGACAGGAGTCTGAAAGAAAGCAAGCAGGGAGTATAAAAAGTTGTGTGGGACTCTATTTTTTGAAAAGGAAACCCAGAGATTACAGGATTAAATTTTCAACTTACCTGAAATAAGCCAAACACGTGTACTGAGTCCATTGCTAAGTGGCCCCAAATTAGAAAAGATCCTGCAATTACTGTGAGTAAAACCATGAACACCAATTTCTCTTGTGCACCATAATCGCTTCTACCTGCCCACATAAATAAGTACATACCGAGGAAAAAAAACCTCAGAGGTAGGAAGGAGAACATCTAATATATTTCAGGGGACACCTAATATATTGTCAAAATACATGGTGAATTCTTAAAATAACATTATTATGATAAAAGACATATTGCCATTAATTCCTGTCAAAATATGCTTTTGCCTCTCAAAATTCCTCGTCAGAACTAGGCAGAACCCCTGCAAAGAAGGTGTTAGAAAGTAGGTGGTGGCAGGCACTGGGAGAAGGGAAGGCTGCAAGCTGCAATCAGAAGGTGCTTGGAAGGAGGAAGGACTTCCACAAACCCATGGATATTACAGAGGGCTACCAAGACTGAAAAGGAAACCCCACGAACAAAAGAAAATCTGAGCCAGAATAGCTCAGAAGCAAGTCTGGGAGAAACCCAAGTTGTGTCCTATGTGACTAGTTCTGGGACATTCATACATCAGGATCATAAATATTTGTGGAAATGAAATGACCAAACCAAACAGAGTTAGCAGTGAAGCAGGACAGTAGTTTTATGATCAGTAATAGAAAGTTCTTAGGACAGGTAATTTTACCTTATCCACCTGTAGCAAAACCTTCCTTTTGTGTCCTCTGTACACAGAATGGAACTAACCAGAGGCTGAGGGTTGTAAGCACAAGTCTGACTCTACTATGGCTGAGCTAGCTACATGTCTCCATCTAGAGGACATGTCAGAACGGTTTCATGGTTGCTTTGCTGGGTGGTATTGTAATATTAATGTTCATCACCGATTATATCTGGCTGCTGGCCTTTTGAATGTATGGTAGTACTGCATTTTCCTGCCCTTTGGAAATTAGTGTGGGTCCATAACTTGCTTTGGCTAGTGAGAAAACAGTGGGAGAGGCAGATGCCCCTTCTGGGCAGAAGCCTAAGGGCAAGAATGTGAGGCACCACCTGCTTCCTGTCTCCATGGCTCTGCAGAGTTCTCCCTGGCTGTGCTCTGGGAGCCTATGGTGAGCAGAAGCCTTGACTAGAGCTCATTGGATACATGAACAAGAAATGGATTTTTGTTCGGTTTTGCTGTGAGATATTGGAGTTGTTAGCATATCATCATCTTGCCCACTCTGACTATACAGCTAACTTTCATTATTTTTTCAAAGGGAATATCTGACTCACACTAGGGTCAATATTTTATTTAGTTGGATAATACATTTCCCACAGCCTCAACCCAGTCTCGTGCTGACAATATGCATCTTGTTTGGATTGCTAAAGCATGAAAGAACATTTTTATAAATGAGGACATAAGCTCAGAAGGGCATCAAATGCTTTCAAGTGTTCTGTAAATGTTAGCATTAATATATCGCCTTTATGGTTTTTTGTCATAGCCATCATAGTCAATTTACTCATAATCAATTGTATCATACTCAAGCGTCATAACCACTTGTGGATTTATATAATATTCTTTAAATTGATATTTTGTTTAAGTAAGTTATTTTGAAAAGAAGGTCTACTAGGACTAGAGGTACCATTTAAGCCAGCTATTCCTCTGCTGGGTATCTTCCCAAAATATATTAGAAGAATCATAATACAGCCATGTATGTGCACCCATGTTTATAGCACCACAGTTTGTAATAGCTAAAGTTTGGAAACAGCCCAAGTGCCCATCAATTGGAAACTGGATAAAGAAGATGTGGGGTTTTTTTAAATAAAATGGAGTACTATTCAGCCATAAAGAATGAGAAACTAGAGACATTTATAGCTAAATGGGTGCATATTGAGGCCATACTCTTAAGTGAAATAAATAGGACACATGTGTGTAAATACCAAATAGTTTCTCTGGTATGAGATACTGAAAGTGTAAATAAGGATTAAAATGATTAAAATGAATAATTGATAATTTGAAATAGGAAGAAAATGTCCAAAGGGGTAGGGGAAATGGGAAGGGAAAGGGAAAGGAAAGAAGGGAAAGGAAAAATTATGAGAAAAGGAAAAAATGGAAACAAAACCTTTGTAAATAGGGAAGGGAGCACAGGGAATGAGGAAAAAATAAGAACCAAGATACATCATATACAGGTACAAGCACCCAATGATAAATGTAAATGTATTGTATACCTAAAATGTACCAATAAAAGAATTTAAGCAAAAATAAAAGAAGGTCTGTATCACTAGTGTATACAGAAACTGAAATCACTCACATAAATGGTCACATAAATATGATAAAAATGAAATAATGCTATTAACTTCAAGTTAGAAGCCCTAGGTCTAACTGTGTCTTTCTCTCTTTACTTAAAAAGAGAGAAAGGGATTAGGGAGTGTGAGCTGTGTCTGACAATATGTGATGCTCTGTGCAGGTGTCCTGCGATATACAGCTTCACTTTTTGTGGTGTTAGCTCCCCACAGTCAACAGCAATCTGAAAATACTAAACAGAAAATTCCAGAAATAAACAATTCATAATGTTTAAATAACTTTATTACAATACTTCGTCATAATGTCTTATTTTATGATTAGTTATTGTCATTAGACTCTTACTGTGCCTAATCTATTAATGAAGTTTTATCATAGGCATATATATAGGAAAAACATAGTTCAAATATAAAGGGTTTAGTACTATCTAGCTCTAAGCCCCTTCAGGATGTCTTGGAATGCAGATAAAATGAGATTACTATATCATTATAAATTCAAGAAATGCCATATGAAATATAATATCCAAAAAGCAATTAATGCACTTCCAAGCTTAAAAGAAACCAAGGAAAATCTCCAGGTACCAGAAATGAAGAATTATTATAAAGATGTGAAAAAATAGTCCATAAGGTTTTCAGACTAGACACAGGCCTTAGGCCCCACCCAGAAGTGGCCTCTGTGTGCCTGAAGAAACACAAAGATCTGAATTTCTAAATAAGGCTGTGGAGCTTAAAGAACTGCACCCTTAACCCTTAATGAGAATAGATGAGGAAAAGCTCTATTCTCTAACATTGGAAAGCAGTCTGCCTGGGAACCTTGGTAGGAAACAAAAAGCAACCTGTAAGAATTGAAGACACTAGTCATTGCCAAGCATACCTCAATTCATGTTACCTGAAGAATGTAGGAAACTCAAATCAAGAAATTAAAATTACATTCATTTTTAATCATTGAATACTTAAAACTCAAATGTTACGGTTTAGATCTAAAATGATCTCTGAAAATCTCACATTTAGAGATGGGGCCTGGTCTGAAGAGTAAGGTCACTGGGGGCATGAGTTGGAAGGTTGTTATCCCTGGCTCCTCTCTTTCCTCTATGCTTCTTGGCTGCCACACTTTTCCTCAACCATGCTGTTAAATAAACCTTTCCTCCTTAAACTTTGGGTGTTGTGTATTTTGTCTCAGCAACAAGAAAAGTAACTAAGATATATTCCACACCATTTCTGTCTTGGAGCCAGTCAACCATGGACTAAACCCACTGAAATTGCAAACCCAATAAACCTTTCCTCCTTTAAGTTGTGGGTGTTGGGTATTTTGTCACAATGACAGGAAATCTGACAAATATACTAGGGCTCCAAAAAAATTCAATGTAATCACCTGGTAGAGCTTGCTAATTTAGAACTAAGGATTCACTGGAAATCTGCTTAGGAGCAAGAAAAAGACCCTCGAAAAGATGAGCTCATACCAAAAAATAAAATTATAACAACAAAAAACACTGCCAAGGAGAAAAAAATTGCAATGTGGGATTGTTAGGAGATATCATAAATAGACATATAAAGGTAATTAAACAGCCAATGAAAGTAATTTTAAAAGAGAACAATATGAAAGAGACTATAAGAATTAAAAATATTTTACAACCACTGCCAAACAACTTATTCTAAAACATTGAGATTTGAGGCGGTTTTGATAGCAGGTAATGTCACTTAAGCCCTGATTAGCTTGACTGGTTAAAAAAGAAATATAAAACATGTAATGATGCAAAACTGTTGACAATACAGTGAAATAAAAAGATATACCAGGAAAAGAATAAACACAAGAAAGCAACATAATATTCATATCAAACAACAGACTCAGAAGAAAATGAGTTATTAAAGTTTAAAAATGTTATTGTATAGTGTTTAAAGGAATAAATTCCTCACCTCAAAAGAAGTACAAATGGCTAATAAATACAAGAAAAAGTGTTTAACATCACTGGCCGTTAGAGAAATGCAATTTAAAATAACACTGTGATTCCATCTTACTTCAGAAAGAATGGCTGTCAACAAGAAATCAAATAATAACATGGTGGTGAGGCTGAGTCTTAGTTACTTTCTCATTGCTGGGACAAAATATCCAACACTGACAAGTTAAAGTAAGAAAGAGACATTCCTCATTTAACAACTGAGTTCTGTTCTTGTGACTAAGTCATTAAATGAATTGGTCGTAAGTGAAGAATTGTATATAGTATGTATAGTACAATATTCAGAATAAGAAAATGGTCAGAGGAAACCCCAAGTTGATGATTTTGCATTTATTTGCATAACATAACTTTTATATGCAGTACTATACTGTATACCTGTATAACAAAACATAAAACTACAGTACTGTACTGTACAGTGCAATCAACAAAAATTGCATCATTATATAAACAAGGTATATTGTACAAACAAAAGACATTAAGGCTCTATAAACATGATGTACCAAACTGTTCAAAAAAAAAAAAAAGATGGGTCATAAGTCTGAGCAGTGGGTTGTTAAGTCTGAACAGTGCACCTTGGTCATAAGTCCAAACAGTAGTAAAACAGGTAGGTCGTTAAGTGAGGAATATCTGTATTTTAGTTCAGAGTTTGTAGAGGTTTCAGTCA